CATGCCTGTAATCCCAGCTACTCAGGAGGCTGAGGCAGGAGAATTGCCTGAACCCAGGAGGCGGAGATTGCGGTGAGCCGAGATCGTGCCATTGCACTCCAGCCTGGGTAACAAGAGCGAAACTCCGTCCCAAAGAAAAAATAAATAAATAAATAAAGTGCTTTGAACAGCTCTTGTGCATAGTAGATACTACAAATGTTAATGTGCTATTTTATCAGTGCTTAAACCTACAGATGCTTTTGGATTCAATAATTTAAATGACTTTCCCATCATTTCTGTCAAATAGTATAATTACTTCATATCATTTATAACTATATGACAAATTACTCTATGGTAATGTAGATTTTTTTTTTTTTTTAAGCAAACAAATCTAAAATTACGTATTTAATGATGACACCTTCAAATCGGTCACCTTGGAAGGCTACCTACTTATTCAAATGTTGCCTGTCTTTTCAAATACTTTTGAAAGACTTTTGGAATTGCCTTCAGATCCTGTGGCATAACGCTTTCTGGCATATCGTTATTCTTTGATGGTATAGTTGATTTGTAAATGATCAGAAATCTTTTTGGAACCAAATTCAATGAGTAACATAAGTTTATCAAACTACTGCTTTCTATCCGTAGGGCTACGGATCTATAACGTTATGTCAGTATTTTTGTTTGGCCCTGAAAACAATTGCAGGCTGGGCATGGTGGCTCACTCCTGTAATCCCAGCACTTTGGGAAGCCGAGGTGGGCCGATCACTTGAGGCCGGGAGTTTGAGACTAGCCTTGCCAATGTGGTGAAACCCCATCTCTACTAAAAATATAAAAATTAGCTGGGCGTGGTAGTGGACACCTGTAATCTCAGCTCCTCAGGAAGCTGAGGCAGGAGAATTGCTTGAACCCAGGAGGTAGAGGTTGCAGTAAACCAAAATCGTGCCATTGCACTCCAGCCTGGGTGAAAAGAGCGAAAGTCCGTCTCAAAAATAAAATAATAATAATAATAATAATTCCAAAGAAGAGTTCCAAAAATGTTTCTAACAAACAATTTGGAATATATATAAAGTTCTGAGTTCTAGCCTGCTTACTGAGAGAAAAAAAGTAAATTTCATTACTTTCTATTTGTACTTCTTTAGTCAAATAGCCACTATTCACTATATGATAGAACCTTTCAGTATTTAACACAGATACACCATTTAATAATTAAGATTTCTCTATATACCTTGGCTTTAAAATAAAACTTTTATATTTAAAATAAAAATATATATTCCTTCACATAGTGATATATTTTATTTGGGAAGCTATTTCATAGCTAACTAACCTAACCAACCAATATTAACCACTAGTTAATGTTTAAAGCAAGGTGGAATGCTATTCAATTTTTTAGATCGGCCTAAAACAATTTTACTTTTTTTTTTTTTTTTTTTGAGACAGAGTCTCGCTCTGTTGCCCAGGCTGGAGTGCAGTGGCATGATCTTGGCTCACTGCAACCTCTGCCTCCCCGGTTCAAGCGTTACTCCTGCCTCAGCCTCCTGAGCAGTTGTGACTACAGGCATGCACTGCCATGCCATGCTAATTTTTTGTATTTTTAGTAGATGGAGTTTCACCGTGTTAGCCAGGATGGTCTTCATCTCCTGACCTGGTGATCTGCCCACCTCAGCCTCCCAAAGTGCTGGGATTACAGGTGTGAGCCACTGTGCCTGGCCCAATTTTACCTTTTTTATAAAGATGACAAATTATTCAGAACTCATTAAAGAATCATTGGATTAACAAAATACAAATCAATCACTATGTCTTCTGTTTAGTCAAACTGGCTTCTACCTGAAATCTATAAGGGCCTTCGATCACCACTAACTATGGAAAACTCAATCTAGAAAGCACAGATCAGGCAACTTGAAGCTGTCTAAACTTTGTATCATCTATGTCTCAAACCTACTGATAAGAAAGATCCTGCCATAGAAGCAGCTGCAATTGCCACCTCTTCAGGTAAGTGAATGGGGACGCAGCTTACAGTGATAGCCAAATATGGGCAAAAAGAGGGTAAAGGGAGAACTGCTCAATAAGATGGTGGGAAGGTAGCAGAAAAGTTCAGTGATCACGGTAGAGATTATTAATATTTTTGTTACCAGGCTTTCTTTTGACCTCTATTTTAACCCATAATTGAGTGAAATAAAGCATACACACAATATATACCACATATGCCAAACAAGTTTAACAGACATTAAAGGCTGAAAATTTCATTTAAAAACAATTACTTTTAAAGATAAAAACCAATAATATAAAGTGTTCATACAGCGATTAAATCTTAGGTACAATAATATTTATTGAGCACTGTGTGCCAGGTACTGTGCTAAGTGCTTAAAATATTATTTCATTCAATCCTCACAGCATTCCCCAAAATGAAGTACTGATATTTTCTGTTACAGGTAAGGAGATTGAGGCTTAGATGCCAAAGGTCCTGCTGCACTCAGATTTTAAACCCAAAGCCTATGAATTAATGGGACTGAATAACTATTCATTTTACATTTATCTACAGAAATATTCGACTGACCTGTAGTATTCAGAGGCAGTTTCAAATTCACCAAGAAATATATATGCATTTCCAAGGTTGCTATATGCTCTTCTTTCAGCTGCTTTATCTCCAAATTCTTTTGCAATAAGCAGACGCTGAAAAAGAAAATTTTAATTAGATGTAGCTATAATAAAACTGAAGAATGATCTAATCAGTGTTCAGAACTTTGATGAAGAAATGATCTGGCTCCAAGACCTTCCACTGTACCTGCTCATGGGCTATAACTGCATCCCTGAAGTTGCCAAGGAGGTAATGTGTGTTTCCAAGATTTCCAAAGGCACGTCCTTGTGCTGCTCGGTCACCCAAAGCAGTCACTAGTGATAGGTTTTCCCTAACGGACAGCAAAAAGTGATGAAAAAAATAAGTCTGCAAAACAATTTTATTTATTTGATTTACATATCTAATTTTATCAGGAAAAAATGGAAATAAGTTTACAGCCAAAATGTGCAACACTTTAAGGATGACATCTGTGATGAAGGACAATTATAGGAAATAGCTGGGACCTTTATTTAACCATTCAGATAGGTTTCTGCCCAGGGTCAAGCACAGAGTTAATTTTGGAACCCCTATAGTTAAGAAATTCTATGAAATTCTGTTGGTAAAAGACTAAATTACTCTAAATAACAGACTAAGCATTGATATTTCTTGTTTTTGCCACTAAGTGGCACTGGTCTGCAATTTAAATGAAAGCTGCAGATTACATTATAACATAACACTATAACAGTTAAGCAACTGAATTGATGATTTTGCTAGTTCATAACTTTAAAACTTTTGCCAAACTTAAAACTTACTACTGAATAAAGAACATATAGCAGATCCATAACTTAGATGGGCCTACATGACTGCACATATCAGCCCCTACTCACTCATAAAAATCCACGGCTGCCTGAAGAGCATTTCTCACTTCTTCTGGAAATTCTCCTACGTCCTGGGGACCAGGGCAACCAAAGCTTTTCCCTTTGGCATGATACACATTTCCAAGATTGTAAAGTGCTCTTGCTTCTCCCACCTAAATGAAGATATCAGCAAAGTTTACATTTTGAAAACAGAGGTCAGGTTTTTCATATATATTTGTAATATCCTTAGTATTACGGTCAAGGGAAATAAATTTTTTTATTGGCTCTCCATACAGAACCAATCAAATGATTACTTATGAAAGAAAGCCCTCTTGCTACTACTTCCTTCTTTTTCTCCATTTTTTTTTCTTTTACTTCTATAGTCTACAAATGTTTTCTTTTTTGGCATTAATTTTTAAATAAACTATAGAATAATTAAATAGTATTAAAATGCAAAGCACTTTGAATAAAAATATTGGGCCTACCATTTAATGCTGTGGTATTACCTTGTCATTAAGCTCTCTGGAAATATCTAGGTGTCGCTGACAACAAACTATGGCTTCATCAAAATTCCCAAGAACTTTTAACGTGTTTCCCAGATTACCACTAGCTTTGGCTTCCCCCAACTGGTCTCCAATAGTCCTGGAAAAAAAAAAAAGAAACAAATGGTATTAAAATACAAATGGTGTTAAAATATAAAGCAGCCAGAGTACAGTTTTCCTAGAGGACAAATTGACATGCTTAAGGTAAGAAAAATCCATTGGCTCTGAAACCTACTTTAAATAAATATTTAAAACTTACATTTCTGTATTTGAATGTAATTAGTTTTCATTCATTTAATTAAACTCTAGGGTCCTTTCACTACTATTCATTCAATTAAACTGTGTTCAGCCTAAAGATTAGTTTTAAAGAGTGATGCTACTGAAGTAGAACTCATTAAATGTATTAAGTTAGTTTTTGTTAGTTGGATAGAAATATTTTTTAAAATAATAGCTAATTTCAGAAGGAAGAATATTTAAAAGCTTAAGTTAATTACCTTGCAAGAGTTAAATCATGATGGTGATATTCTAATGCTTTGGCATAATCATGCAAATAGAAATAAGCATTGCCCAGCTGGCTGTAAATAGCACTAAGTGTTTTTAGGTCTTCAGTTCCAACTTGAACTGCAGCTTCAAAGAATGACACGCCAGCTCGGCAGTCTCCTGATTTACATAGACGTTCCCCTTCCAAGGCCAGCTCTAGGCAAGACGCTTCCATTCTACAAAATTATACAGGACAGACATTTAAACATAACATTACAGCTGCATCACAGTATTTTTAACTTCCAGTAATATAATTTAAATGTAGACTATGTGGCTACTCTTGTTCAGGACAGCTGCCTCTATAACTGAAGTCTATATACATTCCTGATAAAACAGCAAAACAGTTATCTGTAGCAAGAGGTAATTTGCCTATTCAAATTTATCTGAGCCTGCTCAGAGAGGTCTGTTACACAGGATAGCTAAATATCTTTATGTGGAGCTCATTTTAATTGGCCCAGAGCAATGCACATTACTAGTGAAAGAATCTAAAGCAGTATTTCCCAAACAATTCTGAGTAGTAACAGACCTCTAGACTTCCTGAGAGCCTGGGGAGACGAGTATTTGGAAAATGAGGCCCCACAATTATTAATATTGTTCTCTACCCAGGTATCCAAGTAATCTAGTCACCTGTCCATCAACCCCTCTGACCATCCATCCATCCATCCCTCTCTCTCCCTCTTATACACACACAACACACACGCTCCTTCCTCTTCTTACCACCACATGATCACTTATATCCTAGAAAAATACAGGAACAAAGTATTCTTGATCTGTAAGGCACATTTTCACAAGAGAACTAAGTGTCAAGAAACTTAAAGTTAGAAAGCAATGATTCAAAAATTTGCAGAAATACTAATTTTCAAAGTCTGTCCCTGAATTGAAAAAGCCAGAAGGATTAAATCACTGTAAACATATCTGAGAGAAAAAAAATACTGATACTTCGGATTCAAATCCTAAACTTTAGAGGGTGCCCCTTACTAAAGTTGCCATTGTGTTTCTTCAGTATCTTCATGATTTCTGTGATATGTATGAAGTACCTATTCATTTAATTATTTCTATAATTTGGCAAATTTCCTTTAAATTGGCACACTAACTTACCATTTAAAAAAACAATTGAGCTTCAACCAAATCAGTACTCATGAAACTGTGAATTTGATATGATACTTATATTTATTTTCTAATACAGCAGTCTCCAACCTTTTTGGCACCAGGGGCTGGTTTTGTGGAAAACAGTTTTTCCATAGATGGGTGGCAGGGATGGTTTTGGGATGATTCAAGCCTATTACATTTACTGTGCTCTTTATTCCTCTTGTTACTACATATTCACCATAATGTGCAATCAGTGGGAGCCCTGAACTTGTTTTCCTGCAACTAGACAGTCCCATCTGGGTGTGATGGGAGACAGTGACAGATCATCAGGCATTAGACTCATAAGAAGCACACAAACTGGATCCTTTGCATGTACAGTTCACAATAGGGATTGCACTCCTATGAGATGCCACTGCTGATCTGACAGGAGGCGGAGCTCAGGTGGAAATGCTCACTCGCCCTGCCCACTTGCAGCTTACCTCCTAACAGACTACAATAGTACTGGTCTGTGGTCTGGGGGCTGGCAACCCCTGTTCTAATATACACTGAACAAATATGTAATTATTAAAATCTAAAAGTGAGTAAAGTTACCCTATGTACCACCAATGGTATACATATCACTCTTTGAAAAGCTCTGATAGGGCTCATCAAACATTTTAATTTTTGGAACAGCACTAAATTACTCCTTACTAGAATGAGCTTTGAGCCACGCTAATAGAGCAGTGGTTCTTAATGCTGGCTGTACAACAGCAGAGCTGACCTAGAGCACTCTCTAAAACTCTCAATACTAAATTCTACTCTCTGGGTGATGTTTGGCCATCTGTATTTTTTTTTTTTAAGCCCCAGGTAATTCTAAAGTACAAGTTAGGGTTGAGAATCAGTGCTTTTATAAGAAATGTGAATTAAACTATCACTCACCCTAATATCATTCAAATATGATACTTTGTATATTGAGTGGTAGATCAATTAACATGTTTGAGTGCTATTTTTCAGTCCGTAAAATTTCAAGATTCCTTAAAGCCATAAATTAAAATGGGATTGTAAAGTGGAAAATATATCTGATGAAGCTAAAAGCCTGGACAAAGATTAACAGAGCCAATTGCAAAGGTTCAAAGCAGACTTTTGGTTCAGAAAAAGCAGATGTATGTAGCCAATTCCAATAGGTAATTTTCAAGTTCTTTTTTTTTTTTTTAGAATTCAAGTGATTTAGCCAATGGCTACTGCTTGCTGATCTTCACTTTTTT